AAAAAAGTTCTGGGACCATGGAATCTGCTGCTATTCTTACTATGTTCAAATGATCCGTTTCAAAATATGGAGTTTACTATACTAAGTACGTTAGTGATGGTGATTCAAAAACCTTTCCAGTGCTTTCAAAAACCGTACCTTATCCAGGTATAATATATATTTGATTTGAGAATTTTGTTTTCTAAATTAAAGTATGCTCTAACTGTTCTGCAATTTTAGGAAAAGAAATAAAAAAAAATCGAAGACTTGTGTTATGACCGAAGTGTTCCCCTTCGATCATAAGACGGAACAAACGAATAATAAGCGCTCCTTTCTAGTACAGTGGTAGTATAGCTGCCGGAAAGCAGAAGACGTGGGTTCGATTCCCTCGGGAGGAGTATTCTTTTGTTCCGTTCTGTAGTCATACCATCACGTTGCTGTCTCAGTGATAATAGAGTAAGAAAGAAGGAAAGAATACGTAACAACTTGAATCATTTTAGCAAAAGAATGAAACGTGGATTAGAAACAATAAAACGTGAGCATGGGCGAAAAAAATTATCTGATAGTAAAACAATTGGTGGTAAAAATCGTCTATCTGGTGAGTCTTTCTAATTCAGGAGAAGATTTCGAAACAAAACAAAATCGAAAATTTGGATATTTTGGGTGTGGGTGTGGGTGTGGATGAAGAGAGATTAACACCCACACCCAATATCGATACAAATACTAATACCGAGCGATATGATGCCGAACACTCACGTTATATTGGTATGGTTACATCCCTAGTACAAAGATATCTGAAAATTAGTGGGGTGTTTACAATTATACATCAAGACATTTTTCAATATAAAAAAAGCCATTCTTTTACTTCAATATATTTTTTAGTGTCATTTTTAATTTAAAAAATAATATTCAAATTATTGATGTGATTCTTAAATGAGCCTTCACAACAATCTTTCAATTGTTATTTGTTTTTCAATAGTTGTTTCTAAAATATGTCAATGCTCTAAAATAGAGATATAATAAAAAACATAGTTACAGACTGTGGCCCATTAAAGATAACCTTGCCTTTCTCAAAAACAAACTTGTCTAGAACTTATTAAAATTTCTCAAGATCTAAACAGTTATACTTACTAATGCTGCACGATTTTGTTCCCATGATATTTCTTGTTCAAAATAATAATTGAATTGAACTAATAGAAGTCCCTTTAATGAATTTACTAATGGTCGATCACTTTTTAAAGTTGTTAAGAATTTTTCCAATTCTTTTAAAACATGGTAAGTTGTTGAAAGAGTTGGATATTTTGAACCTGATAGCAATACTGTTGCTCGATAAAATGGAAACAAAACAGATTTCAATGCTGATAAATATAACCAATCAAGACGAGGAAATGATAACTTTTGAAGCTTATGGTATTGTTTCTTTTTTAAACCGATTTCATTACTAGGTGATAATGTGATATCAGTAATAATAGAGCTAATCACAATAAATCGTGATATCATAATGTATGTTTTATTCCATCGAATACGAAAATTTAAAACAATATCTTTTAATGTGATGGGCTTTAAATGTTGTTCTTCAGCACGAAGGTTTATTTGAATTTGTTTCAAATGAATTTGTCGACGAACATATCGATCAAGAATACTTGATTTTCAAATAAATGCTATTAGCTTTCTAACACGTTCTAATAAATTATAAATCGTTGATGGTAATACATCAAGATTAGAATCTGTTCCAATGATAATTTGTTCATTATTTTGACATTGGTTGTTTCCATCAATCTGTAATGAAGCTTGTTCTTCATTTTCTGTTTCCTTTTCACCTCCATCTTCATCACTATCATAAGAAAAATCTTCATCTGATGACATATTTGTAATCGTAGACTCATTCGGAAAATCATATTCTTCTGAATCATCACTATTAGATTCTTTCACTAACATCTTCTTCATATGAATCTTCAATGTCATCAATTGTTCATGTTTCATCATCATAATCATCAATATTATCATTATTTTGTTTTGAAGCAGTTGTAGTTGATGAAGATTTCGAACTGTGAAAGATGAATAAAAAGATAGACATTCGGTGCCCCCAAACAAACTTTTATTCCCTTCTTTAGACAAGCAACAAACTATTTCAGAGTATTTAAGGATGCCTTTTTGTTTGAAGCATACCAAAAGTAGTGGCAACGACACTATAGTATCTTATAGAAGACTTTAGCAAATTCTATTTCTACAGATAATGATAGCTGCAGGCGTTTTTCATAATTCTACAAAATTGCATCATTGTTCAGGTAGTATCGTAATACTAAGAGCATAGGTAGTATACCAATGATTTGGCTTAAGAAAAAACAAACATGTTGCTAATTTTTTTTCTTTCATCCAACGTTGTACGCGGTCCCTTGGAGTGTGAATACATGGGTTGACGATCATGGTGTGAGTGGTTGCGTGTGGGATGAGGGCGAATACAATATGAGTGTACATGAAACAACGAGCAACAATCACAGGCCCATCCACGCTCATAAAGATTCCACGAAAGATGCTCTCTGGACAGATGCTCCCGAGATAGTTGCTCGCCAGCGACAGATGCTTCCTAGCGACACTTACTCCTCTGGGACATTTGCTTCCGCTACATGAGTGTATGTGTGGGTTGGTGAAGAAGCGATAGATATTTAAATCCATAGTCACAGCCTTCTTCACAACCACATCCGCACACCGACCAACAATCTCAAGAGAATAGTCCAGGTTTGGTAGTAAGTGTGGGTCAGTATGGGGGAAGCTGTGGCTATGGATATGAATGTCCCTCATCTCTTCACACACCCATACTCATACTTGTGTCGTAGAAGCAAGTGTCTCTGGGGAGCAACTGACACGGAAATATCATTTGAGAAGTAACATTCATGGTACCACTTATAGCCCACTTATCCTTCGCCCACACACAAAGACCCACCAGCTACATTATGTTTCTCAATCCATGCAGTCACATTCTCAACCAAGCAGACCACATCGAATATTTGGTGAAATAAAAAACCGAGAAATTAGTTTCTAAAGATCTGGTCTCAATAGAATATCTTTTGAAGGAACGATGCGACAGACGTAATAGAGGGCCTTCCTTAATTAATTAGTACATAGAAAAAGCAGAACTTTAATCAAGTAGTGTATTTACAGCAAAATACGCTCAATTTTGAAGATTTGAACTGAAAAATCTTAAAATGCTGAGGTCAACAGTATTTCCGGAGTTTCAAAACCTCAAATTCTAAATATATCTTCTCGAATCCTCAAAATTGTTTCTGTTTTTTTTAGAAACCCTTTTAATTAAAGTTATGAAAATAATTAGGACATAGTTGAAGATTTTCCTGAAAATTCTACACACTTAAGCAAAGTACAAGATCTAGAGTCTTCTATTGGGCGGAGTTTTTTTGTGAAGTCCCCACTACTTGTGCTATGCTCTCAATATTATGATATCATCTGAAGAATGATGAAATATGTTACAATTATTATACACAATTAGAGTTATCAGTATATGTAGAAAGAAAACTTTCCGAAGCCTTGTAAAAGACATTATAATGTCGGTGCACTACTTTTAGTATTCTCTAAGTAAGTGTTTTTCCTCTCTTTTCTTGTATCTCTCTTTTGAAACGTTTAAGTACTTTTATTATTTTTATTCGCTCAAATTATTGCTATAGTTTCCTAAAGAAGTAGATTATAAAAACAAAAAGTATTTACTTACCTTGATGCTGTTTTGTCAAACAACCATAAGGCTTTTTGACCACCAAGTTAAGATTGTGTGCCGAATATGCTATTCGCATACCGAATTCACCACCTTCTGTTGCACATCTGATGTTCTTCCCTCCATCTGTTGTTATTGATCGAATTTTATTTTCCAAATCCATTTTTTTAACGCTTTATTAACCCTTTGGTTACGGGGTTTTTTCTATCAACAAAAAAATTTTGGTTTTTGTCATAAAGCTTGGAGCAATGGATGTGTACGTGCCGTAGCGT